CAAACTCTAAGAGAGAGGAGGAAATGGGGCAAGTCAAAGAGAGCAGAGGAGGAGAGGGGGAAGAGAGAGAAGAGAAAACGCTTGCCCGTAAACACTCTGAAATGAGAAACACCCCCTAATTAGTCGCGCTTGACCGTTGTTTCGAAAATGAGTAGCCGACCAATCGAAAGCGAAGAACTATTGCACCGGAGGGTCCCTTCACTTCCCATAAAATAAAAACAAACACATGTGTAGTGTACATTCTGCAAGATGCTAGCACGCGTTGTTTACGGGAAGGAGAGTGATCGGCGCCATTTCTGTAACGGAGCAAGCTGCGCCGTGCCGTACTCTAGAGTGGACAATGCAAAAAGCTTAACTCCTATCTGCCGTCTTCATGGTTCTAATGTATAGGGCTAGAAGTATTTTCCCCCTAAAAAACTTTGGTCAAATGCATTGACCCGGTGTGTAGAGGTAGTGACAAATATTTCTGCACTGATGCTGTATCGTTTGTTTTCTGCAGTATACACTAAAAGAGGATTGAAAGGTAATGTAAATTCAAGTTATTGTTGATGGGTATATTATGAAGGGTGGGTGCTGCTGGGGCTCCCTGTTTTTCAACCTTTCCTGTCGGAGTAAGTTTAATCTTCCGTTTTGTTGTCTTAATCACTTTAGATCCATGTAACCAAATTAACTTGAAATTATATTACCTTTCTATTGCAACCAGCGAACGATTAATCTCATGCATGAAATAAATTTGATTTTTTTTTTATGTTAACGCGCTTATTATCTTCTTTTGAGGGTATTACAGTTAGAATTGTTTAAACTGATGCAATATTTCCCTCGCTCAATGTCTTAGAAAGATTTAACTTGAAATCATAAAGTGACCTGGAAGGAGCATTGGGGTGAGGATTGGGGTGAAAAGAAGTCAGATTGACATTCAGTTTTCTTTCATGTACCCTCCCGTAGAGTGTTGACATTAACGCTCAGTTACCTAGCTTGCTGTGCAGGCGTTTTCTTCGGGCGCCCGAATGTTTTTGCTCGCGAACACGCCATGTTGAAACTTCAAAAGAGAGGAGGAAATGGGGTGAGTCAAAGGGAGTGGGAAGGGGGCGAGGAGAGAGAAGAGAAAACGCCTCCCCGTAAAAGCTGTGAAAATGAGAAACACCCCCTAATTAGTCGCGCTTGACCGCTCTTCTAAAAATGAGTAGCCGACCAATCGAAACCAACGAAGAACCGAAGAACTACTCCTTCCCTTCCGATAAAATATAAACAAACACAGCTGTAGTGTACACTCTGCAAGCTGCTAGCATGCGTTGTGTTTACGCGAAGGAGTGTGATCGGCGCCATTTCTGTAACGGAGCAAAGCTGCGGCTGTCCGATCTCTAAAGTGGACAATGTACAAACTCCTATCTGCCGTCTTCAAGGTTCTAATGTATAGAGGTACATGTAGAAGTATTTTCCTCCTAGAAAGGTTTGGTCAAACGCATTGACGCAGTGTGTAGAGGCAGTGAAAAATATTTTGCACTGATGTTATATTGTTTGTTTTCTGCAGAACCCACTAAAAGAGGATGGAAAGGTAATGTAAATTCAATTTAATGTTGATGGGTATATTATGAAGGGTGGCTACTTCTGAGGTTCCTTGTTTTTCTAAACCTTTCCCGTTGGAGTAAGTTGAATTAATTTCTGTTTCGTTGTCTTTCTCACTAAAGGTCTATGTAACCAAATTAACTTGAAATCATGTCAGTTTACTACTACGACAATCGAACGAATCATCTCATGCATTTAATGACTGATTTTTTTTATGTTTTTTAGCGCGCTTGTTGTCTTTTTTTGACGGCATTACAATGAGTTTAAACTGATGCCACATTTCCCCCGCTCAAACTTTTAGAAAGAGTCCAACTCGAAATCTCACTAAGATCTGGAAGGGGTAATGGGGTGAAAATTGCCTTGGAAAGTCAGATTGATATTCAGTTTTCTTTCATGTGCCCTCGCATAGAGTGTTGACATTAACGCTCAATCACCCGGCATTCTCCGTGCATTAAAGGGACACAGTCAGCTGATGCACATGGGCATTCGATACCATTTCATAGCTGATAATGTAATGTCACAAGACACGTGCGTGAAACAGAATATGAGAAGCTTATATATCCGGCATACTCTAAACAAACCTTGTAGAGTTGAACCACTTACAAGCCGAAATCGTGATTATAGACCCAAGGTGATATCATTTTTATATACCATTCAGAAATCAACGATGGATTTTTCCGGAAAGCCAAACATCGACGAATACTTCCGAATCGGTAGAGATGAAAAATGACACAAACTCTGAATCATTGTCGAAGGTTTAAGGTCGTGAAAGCTTGATTTTCCAAATATATGTAACCTTTTCCGTCAATTTTCCAATTAGATATATCGATTATTTGTTCGGCAATGCTGCTGATTCATTTCTGTTGTTAATTTGGTAAACGAAGGCGATTTCTTCAGCCCTGGGCCTAAGCGTTTCTCACCTCAGTCTTCTGTTCATGTTCCTGTGGATCCTGTTTTTAACCAAACTAATATGATAGAATAATGTAATAGGATAAGTAAGAGTTTGCTCAAAAAGAGGTTTTCAGTAAAAGATCGAGGATCGGATGAAACATTAGGCAAGATTGAAGCGGATTTCTAGGTATATCCGACGCGTACATTTGATTTAGGGTTGAGGTAAACGTTTTTCAAACTGGCAAAAGTAGTGTCCAGCTAATCTACTAGGTAGAGAAACATACCCTGCACTAAATTTTATCGCAATCTCGTGCACGGCTAGGATTTTCTCATTTTTTGAATATTTCGGTGTCGGTAAATGAATCATTGCCTTCTGTTTCACGATTGTTAAGCATAAAGAACATAATTATTGGAAATACCACTACGTACGTCGATATGAAAGGTTTCTGGGATTTGTGTTTTCTTTTTCCTGCGAAATGTAAATAAGAAAAGCTGACCAGCAGAGGACCCTATTTGGATGTCCAGTTGTCCAGAAGTCCAAACTAGAGTTGTTTGCCTCATTAGAGAATACTTTTCAAAGAATGAATTTTACAGATTAAAGAATGTGAGGTTATGTTCACATTATATCGGATAGCTTTTGGACCGGCATGAAAACCATACCGGTTAGGGCTTCTGTTCGTACATAAGAAGGGTGATTTCGGCTCCATTTCTGTAATAGAGCAAAGCTTCTCCGCGCCAATCTCTAAAGTGGATCAATGCACAGACTCCTGTCTGCCTTCTTCATGGTTCTAGAGTATAGAAGCAGAAGTGTTCTCTCCCTGAAATACCTGGGTCAAACGCATGGACGCGTTGTTTAGAGGTAGTTAAAAATATTTTGCACTGATGTTATATCCGTTTGTTTTCTGCAGAATTTGGTGCAAGACGAGTACCAGGTAATGTAAAGTCAATTTATTGGTGATGGGTATATTATGAAGAGTGGCTACTTCTTGGGTTCCCCGTTTTTCAACCTTTCCTGTTGGAGTAAGTTTAATCTTCCGCCAGTTTATTGTCTTGATCACTTGAGATCTATGTAACCAAATTAACTTGAAATTTTATCAGCTTACTGCGACAAGCGAACGGTTCATCTCATGCATGAAACAACTTTGATTTTAATTCTGATGACTTTCAGCGCGCTTATTAGCTTCTTTTGGTATTACAATTACAGTGTTTTAAACTTACGCACGCTGACGCATGAACTAATTGTTAATTTGCACTGATGTTATATTGTTTGTTTTCTGCAGAGCCAACTAAAAGAGGACTGAAAGGTAATGTAAATTCAATTTGTTGTTGATGGGTATATTATTAAGATTCCTTGGATTTTTTAGGATAGGAAAGTGGAATTTTTAGTGATCTTGTCTGCTCTCCATAGCTGAGTTGTTTTCTTTTTCCTGCGAAGTGTAAATAAGCAAAGCTGATCAGCAGAGCACCTATTTGGATGTCTAATTGTGTGAGAGATCCAAACTAGAGTTTTTGCCTGATTAGAGAATACTTTTCAAGGAATGAATTTCACAGATTAAATAATGTAAGGCTATGTTTACATTGTACCGGATAGCTTTTGCGCGGGCATGAAAACCATACCGGATTCTAGGGCTCCTATTCACACAAAACAACGGTGTTTTGGGCACCATTTCTGTAACGGAGCAAAGCTGCGCCCCGCCGAAACTCTCCCTTCTTTATGGTTCTAGTATATATAGCTAGAAGTAGTTTTCCCCTAAAGCACCGGGTTCAAACGTATGAACGTGGTGTGTAGAGGTAGTGAAAAATATTTTGCACTGATATCGTTTGTTTTCTGCAGAATTTGCTAAAAGACTATTGGAAGGTAATGTAAATTCAATTTGTTGTTGATGGGTATCAATTATGAAGGGTGGCTACTGTTGTGGTTCCCTCTTTTTCAGCCTTTCCAGTTGGGGTATGTTTAAATTTCCGTTTTATTGTCTTAATTACTTAAGATCTATTTAACCAAAATATTTTGATATAGAGTTCTAAAGTGTGACGTCATAAAAAATTAAATTTGTGAAATTATGGGATTTGTCAGGATATTCTGAAAGAACAACATCCAAGAGACCTACTTGCCAAAAACTAGCATCGTTATGACACGCAGCTCTGTTGTTTCAGGGCTAGGCTGCAATTCTTCCCCACCTCGTTTAGTTTTCAACCCAATCCTGTTAGCTGTGATGAGCTTCAAGACTTGCAAGATTCTTTATGCGAACAGCTGCAAGATTAACTTACGATTTAAAGAATTCGTGGTTCGAGTACTGGATCAGCATCATTCAGCCAGTGAAAAGAAAACCAAAACAGCCTCTGCATGCTTCTTTTTGGCACTATTTAACACTGCTTTAAAGCTGGCTTTTAAAATTGCAGTGGTATTGGCTTTCAAGAATTAAGCTGATACCTCTTTCTTTTTCATAGTCCCCTTGGATATTCACGCGCGAGGTCCCGCAGCCGTTGAAGCCTACAACAAAGCTCTTTTAGATGGGAAAGCATTCATCAAAAGAATACCAGTTATGATAATTGGGCAGGATCGGACAGGGAAGACCAGTCTAAAGAAGTCCCTGAAGGGAGAAAAGTTCAATCCAAAGGAACAGAGCACTGAAGGAATAGAGACTGATCCCGAATACTTTAAGGTTTCGACGGAAATTTGGAGAACAGGTAACAACGACAAAGAAAGTGAACCATTTTCAGAGGCTTACTTTGAGCATCATATAGCACGGTCGGTATTTGGAGCATTAAAGGATGCCGAGAAGCTACAGGCGAAAGAAGAAACATCTCAGAAACAACTTGTAAAGGAACCAAGCAAAAGGAAGCCTGAGGCTTTACTTAAGTACTCAGAAGTAAGCGCAGAAAGATACACTCTTCCGTTTGCAAACGAAGTCCCAGAACGTGTAGCAAAGCTGGTGAAAGAGCTTCTGCTAAATATGAAAAAGAATGAAGAAAAGGACGAGTTATTCTCCATTCTTTGGGACTTTGGTGGACAGTCCGTTTACTATGCTACCCATCCAATCTTCCTGACAGAGAGAGCCATATATATTTTAACTTGTGATCTAAGTCGTGATCCATACCAGAAAGCTGTCAGTGTTGTGAGAAAAGGGCTGTACAAAAACAAAGAAGACGATTACTGCAAGAAGACAAACCTAGACAATCTCGACTTTTGGCTTTCATCAGTTTATTCTTTGGTTGGTTTACATGCTGATGGTCAGAACATATCTGTTCCGCTTGCCTCACCCACAATGTTACCTCCAGTGTTTTTGGTATGTACTCATGCCGATGAACCCTATTGTAGTAACAGGGATCCCAGAGAGTTGGCGCTTGACATCTATGGAGTTCTCAAAAAGAAGCCTTATAGAAACCATTTGTTTAAGGACGTTTTTGTTGTCGACAATACGAAGTCAGGAAGCGAAACTGACGAGTGTCCTGAGGTAGTGCGCCTCAGGAAAGAAATAATTTCTGTTGCCCAAAGTCTTCCACAGATGCAGGAGGCCGTTCCATTGAAGTGGTTAAGGTTTGAACATATTCTCCAGTCTTTACTTGAAAAACAGTACAAATGGATACCCATTAATGAAGCAAAGCGAATTGCAACAGATGAGTGTGCGATCGACGGCGATGAGCAATTTCGGACTATGCTTGATTTTTTGCATGATCAAAAGGTTCTGATTCATTTTAATGAAACACCAGAATTGAACAACATGGTGATCTTAGATCCCCAATGGCTTATTGATATCTTCAAGAAGGTAATCACTGTTAAACGTTATGAGCCGACAGAATATATTCTTGAACAGTTTTGGCTCAAGCTGCATGAGACTGGAATCTTAGATGAAAGGCTCCTGGTTCATGAGTGGAAATCTTTAATTGATATGTACAGTAAAGAAACCTGTGGAACCCTTATCGCGTTAATGGAGAGATTCAGCTTGCTCTGCCCCTGGCCATCTGACGGAGAACACAAACAGTACCTGGTGCCATCCATGTTGATGTCGCCCCCTTCAGACGACCTCGTTAAGCTACTTTCCTCTGTGAGAATCCCTTCACTATTTGTGAGGTTTGATGTAGGCCGAGTGCCTCCAGGCCTGTTCACACGGTTAGTTCTCCAGTTTTACCAGTGGTGCAACCAGGAGTGGAAGAGCCAGTTACAACCCCAGCTGTTTAGTAATTTTGCTCGGTTTCACATCCTTCCTGATCTAGGGGTGTCTGTCATCATTATGTGCCATTCCTCTGCTATTGAAATCGCCCTTCATGATGGAAGCAACTTTTGTGGAGCAATGGTGGAAGATTTCATTGATGATTATTCTAATCTAGCCACCAGTCGTGCAATTCATTGGCAACTCAGACTCATTCTCGAGTGCATGCGCAGGGAGTTTAGCTGGCTAAAACACATGAGGTACGAAATGTGCGTTTGCTGTCCAGTGTGTTCGCAGAAAGATCCTCTCAGATGTCGTTCTCATGATGTCCGTGGCTGTGAGTGTCTTCACTTGTTGTCTGAATCCGAACTTCAGAAATTTCAGTATTGTAGCCGACCTGGTTTTCGTGGCGACTACAGAATTAACATCAAAATGTTTGCACCTTGGTTTTCACTAACAGGCCCTGAAAGCAGGACTCCAGTGAATCAGGTCGGTATCGGTCTTTTGTAAACGTTATGTACAAAATACAATTCACGAGTGTGTTCTCGAATACTACTAAAACCACTGCAGTTTTTTCAGAAGTTCAATATACAAAATTAAAGCATAAGTTATTTCAGGGAGGAAAGAGTACATATATTATATCTTGTCACTTTGGCCTTAACCATTTGTAGCAAAAGATATCATTATTTAGACTCATAATACAACTTAATGAAAAAAATATATAAAAATTAAACTATAAAACAACAACAACAAAATTAAGGGTTTCCAAACTGTATATTCTTAATTCTTTGATTTTGTTTTTTTCTCAAGCAGCAAGGAGCATCAGGATGTGATCTGGGAGAACTGAGAAGCTGTATAACTTACCAAGAAGGCAAGAACACTTAGATCAGTACTTTTTAAACCCTGTGTTTTCTTATCTATTCTTTCTTTAAATCCAATTTTTAATAGCAGTCACTTGACGTCTTCTGTTGTAACATGTTTCTTTAATTTCTAGAGAAGTCTCTTGCTCTTCCCCATGATGTTCTTCAGTGCATTCAATCTCAGCGGAGCGACCCCAAGGAAATTGTAGTTCAATTTCAAGAGTGTCTGCAGTTAACTCCAGCAGATCTGGAAAATCCAGTGCCAAAGACGCAACGATGGATTCGGTGCCTGGCTAATAAAGCTAAATCTCAAAATAGAATCGGCGTAATTGAGTACTTGAGGACTATAGCACCTGCCGGTACTACAGGTACGTCCACAACAAACTCCGTGTAAAAATTCGTTGTTTCTTTTATTACTACGAGGAGAGATACTTCCAAGTAGTAAGTGAAGTTTTTCTGCATCTTTCAGGCAAGAACTACAAAGAACACTTCTATTTTCAACAACAGCCGGCACCTCATTTTCGCCACCTTTAGACGTTAGAAAAATTTTATGTTGGAACTTTGTAGATGTAGAAGTATATACGCAGATTTGCATGTACAGTTATGGTGGTTTGTTTTATTCACACCATGTTGTTTGGTAACTAGGTCCTTTATTGAACGAAAACCTTGATGTGCGTTGTATTCCTTTTAAGATGAGAAAGGAACTAACATTTGGTCTTTGTGGTAAGTGTTGTTGTTTTGTTATGTCTTGCAAGCTTCTCACATGTGTCTTCAGGTTTATGTTCTGTCTACGATGATAATATTATCCCTTATTTCGTGAATTTAACGTGTTTTCCATAGAGAACTTCAAGACTACCGTAAAATTCCGAAAATAAGCCCCGGGGTTTATATTTTTCAAAGGCCCTTTTTGAGGGGCTTATTTCTGGAGGGGCTTATACTCGGAGGGGCTTATCTACGGAGGGAAATTTGCGTTTCAAAATCGATTGGGCTAGCCTTATAGTTGGAAGTAAATTTACCGTTTTTGCTTTGTTTTACTTTGTATTTGAGGGCAATCTCCAAGTACAACCCCCCGGGGAGCTTATATGTGGAGGGGCGATTTAACGGAAGGTTTTTTCCGTTACGAGATCGGGGGCTTATATTTGGAGGGGCTTATACATGGAGGGGCTTATTTTCGGAATTTTACGGTATTTCAAATTTTGGACCGTTACAAAGAATGTCACGCGTGACGAAACACGTCAGCAAAGCTTGTAAAGTTGACTCGGATGATAGGGTAACCCTACCTGTAAAATTTGCTTGTAAACCAGAGCTAACTTTAACCGGCTTGCTACTGTAACCCTAGCAAAACGGTAACCCTCTTTCCTTGTCAATAGATCCTTATACAGCTGTGGTGTTAATTTATCCAAATCTGTCAGTTAATGGCGACTTACCGTAAATGCTCGGATTAGCGCCCGGGGCGCTTATCAAATTTTCTAAGGCGAGAGGGGGGCGCTTATTTCGTGTATCAATTTTTGGCCTCAAAATGGCACTATCTTTATTTCTATAGTTAACCAAAAAGGTAACAAATAAAAATTCAAAAAACGTTGTAGAAAATTAATTTTTGTGAATCTTGAAACGTTGAGTCAATACGTTTTCAAGTTGCCTGTCAAAAATGTATTGTACTTCTTCAATAGAACAGTTCTAACAATGCGAGGAAAATGAGAAGCAAACCCGTACGACTTTGAAGAACATAAAATTCTGTACTACCGTAAAATTGCGAAAATAAGCCCCGGGGCTTATATTTTTTAAAGGCCCTTTTTGAGGGGCTTATATAAGGAGGGAAATTTGCGTTTCAAAACCGGCTAGGCTTATACTGGGAGGGAAATTTACGTCTCATTATCGACTGGACTAGCTTATAGTTGGAAGGAAATTTATGCCTCTAATTTGCAGAAAGTTTTTACTAAAACTCGCCTTGAGGACTTAGATCTTAGTAAACCTCAGCCATGCATATGGAACGAGGAAATCCAAGCCATAAGTGAACTACGCAAACAGCTGCAGCAATATCTGTGACACTTTTTGACTGCAATAATTTGGCACACGTAATAGTTCTTTGGCAAATGCAAAAATTTAGGTGTTTCTGTACAGTTTTTGCTTTGATTTATTTTGAATTTGAGGGCAATTTCCAAGTACAAGCCCCCGGAGGCTTATGTTTGGAGAGGCGATTTAAAGGAGGGTTTTTTGAGTTACGAGTTTGGGGGGCTTATATTTTGAGGGCCTTATTTTGGGAATTTTACGGTATTACGAATGTCACATTAATTAAAAGTACCGTATACGTCTCGTATATCGGTCCGAGTACTGAACCTCGTTTTTTCGCGGGGGAGGGGGGAGCTTATTAGAAGGGGGTGCTTATTCCAAATTTTTAGCCTTAAGAGGGGCGCTAATTTAATGCGGGCGCTTATTTGAAGCTGGAAACTACTTCGAGCATTTACGGTAGTTTATGCTCAAACTTGGGAGCGTTTGATCTTGAAAAACCCTATCGAGCCACCCTAAGTCACACTTTCGCTGCCATCGAAGTCGTGGTTACTTAAGCACTCCTTTATGCAAGAATAGCATCTCTTGTATCAACATTATGTCATAGTCATACAAAATTATTTTTGTTTTAGTGTTCAACAAGTTTTAAATTAAAATCATGGCTCAAACTTGAAAGACTTGAAAGGCCAGTTGTTTTCAAGGAGGCATCTGACGTCACACAAAAATATATTCCGTGTTCTAAACAGTAGGTCTTTCCTCACAAGCAAAACTGTTTCTATAAACTTTCCAATAAAACAGAATCTGAAACATTTAAATCGCTTTTGTTTGCCAGGTGGAGAAGAATGGAAACAGCTTGCAGAGAGCTTTGGTATGTCTTACAACGAAATCCGCTTTCTTGATAAGAGAACCACCAACCCGTGCGACGTTGTTCTTGATCTTATTGCGAATCACCGCTATTTGATGGTTGGGGAACTTTATGACAGACTCGTCATGAGCGGACTTCCAGGATCAGCTGACTTACTATAAATTATGTTAAGCTCTTTGTTATTATTTGTTATTTTAAGCAGGTAATGTCTTAAAGAAAGCAAAAAGATAAATACAGTGTACCAATAAGAGTGGGGTACTACCCCAGATTTCATTGCTTGGGGGCCTTTAGGCCTTCTATGATTTTTCTTAGAGCCCAACCTTACTGCGGTATTTTGATGTATTAATGGAGCATTGGTTATGAATTTAATTTGTTTATTTGGTACTTCCCCCATTTAGAGATGGTCTTTATACGCAAGGCTAGTTAAAGTCAGTTAACCTGCCGTAAACATATTACTGCAATGCAACAGTATTAAACCGAATAACTTAAGTTTTAATTCTAGTCCTACAAATGTAGGAGATCAAAGTGTTTTTTTTTTTTTTTTAAAGAAATTAACGCTTTAGGGACTGTACGTTATTTATGGCTAGGGCAACGCAGTGGAAATGGGGGTTCGTTTTCAAATGCAGTTGAATGGTTTTAAAGGGGGTAAACTTTTAGAATAATTTTGTTTCAATTCTTGCTTTGTCGTTTTGCACAGCTATATTAAATTGAACTATGTTTTGAAAACCGGCTCTATTTCCTCCAAGTACCGAAGAACCTGGTCCGGCAGTTCGCCTGTTCACAGACCCTCTATTTTCTTTTCAGAAGTCATCGAGCGTGCGTATGAGAATTACAAAACCGCGGGGTATTTTGTTGACTTCCACTTTCGTAGAGTTGTGAAAAAAGAAGAAAAATTCTGGGGGCAGGCATAGGTCTCAGTTAGCCTGCGCCACAGACGATTCAGCCCCGAAATCCTTGTTCTAGGTCGAAAATGGACGTTTTGTACATTTTGACATCTGCGTGAAAGAAAAACCACAAAATGTGTCTGGCCCCGCAGTAACTGGCTCACGCTGTTGCGGAATCCCTGCCACTTTTTTTTGTATTTATATTATGTTGGCGAAGCTAATAAATTAAAATCAAATAGATTTAAGGTGGCTCGACCCATTATTTTTGTAGCGACGCCTTCCATGTTTTAATCTCTTATACTTAAACAAATCGGCCTTAACTGTAAAACCCATTAAAACATATGTATTGCACATTGACTAAACTTTATTATGATAATACTTTTTGGGCGATCGGAATCCGGATTGACTACCTTCCATAACCTGATTGGCGAGAGGCATAGGTGATCCGGGGAAAATCGGAGGAGGAATGGGGAGAGAAGAAAAGGGGCACCTGCTGTAAGAACCCCTCACTGTTCATTTCTGCGGCTGCTGATATCCGTACATCTCCGATTGGTTCAGCCGTAGTTGGTAACTTAGCTACGTTCATAAAGTGACAAACAACCACGATACAATGACAGGCAACGAAGGAAACATGTTATATTGGCAAAGACGAGTAGTAAATTGGTGTTTGTCTGACCAAACACCAACTTCAGGTTTGACGTGGCGGCTATTTGGAGAATTGCCCAAAAGAACTTTAAAAGAACTCTCTCGTTTCAGTTTATCACATACTGCCCAGAATGAACTATTATCTGGTTTAAGAAGAGATGACTGAAGCTACGGTAAAAAGTGGAAAAAACTACCCCGTGGAGCTTTTATAACTGGGTTCACAGTCTGGCAACTTTCACTAGACGAAAAAACGGATTTGCACAAATTTGCTCCATGCAAATGTATTGCAAAAATGTAAAAACTGAGGAGTAAATATGGGGCAGACATGATAAATGCCACATTTGCATACCAAAATGTACGGGGTGTAAATAACTTGGCAAATATGGCATTTACTATCTTTGCCACATGTTTATTCCTTAGATTTCTACTTTTTAGATATATTTGCCAGGAGCAAATTTGTGTAAATCCATTTTTTGATCCAGGGTTTTCTTTTTACGCTATTGAGTTGTAAAAAGTTTCTCTGGTTTAAAAAACTGTTGAAATTTGGTGGGTTAGGCACCAAATCCCCCAACTCAAACATTTTAGCGGACTAAGTCACTGACCCTACGTTTCGAATATATTATGGTCTAATCAGAAAGTCTGTGTCTACACATCTGGCTATCAGAATCTGTGGTCAAACCTTTTGTGAGGTCGGTATTACGTCATTCAATTTTCTAGGACTCTTTTTAATATCTACTCCTCGACTAATATTGCACGGTTCCGTTAAGCAAGTTTCTTAACGCATCAGTATGTTCTTTTTTAAGCGAAAACTAAGCCTTTAATTCTTATTTGCTAAATTAAAAGCTCATTTAGACTCTATTTATAATTTATAACAATGTACCAAGGTGTAACCCATCAAGCGTTCATTCAATTGCCCCGACATGGTTAAGTAAGTTTTAGGTCTCTAGAACTTTACAACTGAACTGCTGAAAAAGCTTTATTGCATTTGATCTTCCAAAGCAGCTTTTCCTAGACTTTGAAGGCGGTACACGATAATCCTGGAGCGGGCCTCAAAACCATAACATTGTTCCATTATCAGTTCACATTCAAAGCCGTCTTAGCGTTCCTGTCGTTAACGAACTGATGATTTCATTAATAACAAATCGACTCGTTCATTGATTCAATAATAAATTGGTGAAATGAATAATCAATAGTCATCCTCTATTCAACTATCGAATATTGATTAGAGTAATGACCTTAATGACCCTACCTATATTTCTAAGGCATAAATTCATAAGGACGCGATTGCACAGACCCTACCCAAGCCACTGCGCGTTTTGTTATTGTGGCTTCGCAGCACACTAATAATTACGTTCTAAAAGAGAAAAGTAAATACTGTTTATATCCTGAAGAACACTCAACTGTCGAAAAGGGGCGGTGGAAAACTAAAGGCGGAGGAATCCTATTTCGTGTAGAAAGCTTATGAATGCAAGTGAAGGTAAACAATTCTTGTGAATTGAAGCGATACGTTTCTCAGAATATTCGAAAGATTCGAAGCAATTCCTGGAAGCAGGATAGAAAAGAGCGGTACTGGGGACAACAATTTTGGCAAACGGAAAGGGACATTTCGGTCCGACCGACCGAAATGACCAGACCGTTCACAGTGTACCACCTTCAAAGCTGGTCCGGAATATTCCGGTTGGACCAGACCGAAATGGCCCGTTCCATTTGATGAACCAACCGAAATTTCCGGACTTTTGGGTTGAATGGAAAGCGCCCCCAGAGACCTTTCATGAGCGGTTTCCGGATCCCTTCCCCCCCCCCCCATTAGACGGAAAAGGTTTTTTTTCTGTGGTGGTGGCAGGGGGGGGGGGGGGGAAAAAAAA